AGATCTTAGATATAAGGCTTGGCGAAGACCATTTTTTGAGGTTTGCTCGAACCACAAAAAAAAAAAAGTTCTTATGGGTTTTATGTTTTATGCACTTCTTAATACAGACTTGAAACATTGCTATTTACGAAATCTCTACCGAGATGATGTATTTCCCTGTGCCACAAGCAAAACATTGAGAATCTCACAAAAAAATGAAAAATATGGGTACAGGATTTTACGATGAATATTGTTATTTGGGTGAGAATTTTAAAAAGGAATGAAAGATAGCACTAGATTTCTAAATTGCAATGTTTCGGGTGCTATGTCCCCTTTTTTAATTCAAAATTAAAATTTTTAATACACCAATTCACCCTCCTCTTGGTGTTTCTTAACCTTCAATATCAATAATCTTAAAACTTATGATTTGAGGGATAAGATGATTGAATCTGATCATATTATAAGCAAGTGGTTGGGCGAAGTACTAATATGCCAAATAAAGAGACCGTTGCGCCGTCTAGCCAAATTCGAGGACATTCTTTGCCTCCAAGGTGTTCATTATATGGTGCAATGTTAAAATATATTAAACATAATACATCACAAAAATATATGGCCTCATAGAGGAGTATAAAGAGTAAAATATTTTTGTGGTATGCTATAACATCTTAGGACACATTGTATCATGTTTTTTAACATTGTTTTGGCACTGCGACCATGCCCAAGATATCAAAAGTCCTAAAAATTCTGATTCGAGGGTGTTCACCTCACTTTTCTTGAAGTCCATCTTCTATCTCCACACACCTCCTTCGGAACATATGATTTGATCTTAGGATTTCCTTAGAGGCTATCCTAGAAGACTAGTAGATATTTGAGACTCAAATTAGAAACATTAACTAAATCTTTACTCCATTGGTTTGAAATTATACTTGACTTTGATCCTTAACATTTGGTTTAGTGTTGAGTTAATTTTAACCAAGTTATTTAAATTAAATGTGTAGTATTTCATATGTATTTGGAATACCTTTAGGAACTAATTGAGTGTAGAGACTTGATTTCATTACTTGGGCACCTTTTGAATCCTTGATTTGCCTCATGGACTGGGCTTTAATTCATTCATTTGGTTTAAAGTCGGCCTAATAGTTGGTATTCACTTTGAACCATGCCTAAGTTGATTCTAAAAGGAATCAAATATAATTGAAATCAAAATGAAATTCAACCAAACTAAGGTCAAATCCACTAAATCCAAATTCAAAATATAACATTCAAATATAAAAATTAACATAAAAAAATAGACTCGTAAATAAAATGAATTAAGCTAAACTTGAATCAAAATCAACTTTAAATTGTAAACAAATATAAATCAAACATATTTTATGAATTCATTTAAAATGAGAAATAACCAAATCATTTAATAAGTGCAACACACTTCAATATTTTAATGCAAAATCATAAGTCTATAATGTACACCTCATCCAAAACAATCCAACATTTACCAAACACAATTCCATTTCTACTCAAATTCTTCAATAAACAACATAATTCCAATTCAAATCATAAATAAACCTAATTGAAGTTCACCTCATAAATTAAAACAAAAATTAAATCCAACAATCAAATCACAGTCAAGCTACACTTAGTCCCTCACACAATTCAACCTATATCAAAATTAACTTCAAACCTTATTACGAAACCAAACTCTAGTCATCTCCAAATATGTTTTAAAATCAAACTAAAATTCATTAGCCAATCCAAAGCAAACTCAAATGCTATTTCTAATCAAGCTTGATTTGGTACATTGAAACAAATAGTAACTATTCAGTTAAAACTTCTCTTAACCTTTCCAAACATGCCCTTATTCCAACTCCAAACAATCCTTAATCGTCTGCATCCAAACATTCCAACCTGTTGTGATTATCTGCTCTGATGGCTGCATCCAATTGTTTTATTTCTTAATCGTTTAAGACAATCTCCACTCTCAGCCAGGCTAGCACCAGCGTAGCTTCCACCACAGCACACCAACTATTGACACTCATAACCTTTTTCACATACATTACAAGCATATAAATGCATGTTCGCACCTTCATTTTGAGCTTGTTGAAAGTTTGAATTCTAATGTTCCTAGTTTCCCTCCATAACTTCTTCCCTCCCTTAACCTTCATAATTCTCCCATTTCTCCCAATTCCTTTAGACTTCCTCCATTGAATTATCTAAGAAGACACAAGGACATGCTCAATTCCCTTAGTTCTTCACTCTAATTATCTTCTCTAAGCTTTTGAAAAATTTCAAAGAGCTTGTAAAACCATTCTTCAATTGGTTTCCGGTTGAATTGCCTCCTCTAACTGATTGTTCGATCATTCCAATTCACCCTTCCGTCGGGATTGTGGTCAAAGCCGAAGAAGCTAGTTGTTGAGCTCAAAGGAATTCTTTTGTGGACCAGATGACCAGTCGATACCACTCAAAAGCTTGGATCGCCTTTGCACAAGAGGTATTCCTTAGATCTTAGATATAAGGCTTGCGATAGTGGGCTTTTTATGAAGGAAATCTTAGTTTCTTAAGATTTCCACTGTTAGATGGGTAGGGATTGCTTGGAAGAAGCATTTTGATTGTTTGACTTTGTGAATTTTCATTCTGACTGCCTAGTTTGCCTGTGATTCATCAGACGACTTCAATTCACCATCTCATTTGGGTTGATGAACTGATATCATTCATTCCTTCACTATTTGGATGAACAACTAGGACTTACTCATATCATGTGGTTTAACCAATCATTAGCAATTATTAATCAACAATAGAATCCCTACAAAAATTAGAAGGAGAAAAAATTGTTGGATTCAAGAAGATGAGTAGAATAGAATAGGATTGAAATCAAATATTAAGTATTGTTGTATTTCTTTTAATTAAATAAAATAATTAAAACTCAACTAAAAAAAATAAAAAAAAAACACAATGAAGTGAAATTTTCATTAAATGATTTAACAAACATAAAGACTCCTATGAGATTTTTTTTTCTATGTTAAGAACTCAAGAAATCAAAGAGTTTATAATTTCTATTTGAAAATATTAATAAAATTAAAATAAAAATATTAACATGAACATATAATTTATAAAGACCTGTGACTGTAATTTCTAGCATTTGCATATAATTTTAAAATGTTATTGTCAACTCCTTTAAAATTTTAAATTCAGCCAAGTAATCTTCACAACTGAAAGATGAGTCCAATTGAAAATCAATTCTGAACATTTAATGAATATACTGAGGATCATGTTATAGACACCTTACCGATCAACGACAACCTTCTCCAGTCCATTGGGGATGCATCTTTCAAAGAACCATAACATTTGTCGAACAGGGCCTGCTTACGCGGATCATTGATCGAACAATCTCCACTGAGGAACTATTGTGAATCAGTCACCGCCTGTTCCTACAAAAAAACTCATCTTTACACCGAAGTTGTAACATGAAAAACCTAGTTCTCTTGCAACTATAAAAATCTTTTCATAGTGAAACTCTTCAACTGGGCCAAACCCGGCGATTTTTTCTGTTTACTAATTTTCCATGTAAAAACTTCTGCTATCACTACTAGTAATTTTTTTTTATCGGAGTGTTTTGAATTCTCGTGCAATGCTAAGACGATAATTCATTACTCTACCGCTGTGAATCTTCTAGCACGCATCAAATACCATTTCATTTTCGTATACAAATAAAAAATAATAGTCGAGATTCCATCATCAAGAGATCTTTAAATCCAAATAGAAGTTATGCTGGGTGCATATTCAAAATATGATCTGACTCATATTTCAAAAGCTGTAGAAACAAAATAATTAATTTCTTATTTTATTACACTATCATAATCAAAGTCCAAAAGAATGATATGTGATCAACTTTCAAAAGCTATTACACATATATATATATATATATGACACCTTATCTAAACATACAAATGTGTATTTCACTTTCAAAAACTAAAGATAGTGATATTTTTATTTGCTATAAAATATTTGGATGATATACATGTATAAAATAAAATTTAGATATTGTTGAGTTCAACATAAATGATTGTAAACTAAGACTTCATTTGAGAAGATGGTGAAACTCTTGTTCCATTATAGTGAACACCGACACAGATTTACTTTTGTTTGTTGAAACAACATCTCTCGAAGTTGTTTCTAAAGAACGATAATTTTTCGTCATTTTAGATAGCAGATGGCCCTTCAAACGAGCCATAAAGACCAAACACTACATAGCTTGCTCACTACAATCTTCATCCCTTATTCTAACAATTCAGACATAGAATACAAGAGAAAATAGGATCCACAACTAAAGTCCACTTGGGAAGAAAATAAAAAAACAAAGGTTAAGCGTACTGGCTGTTTAAGACAGAATTTTCCTGATCCAAAATCAAGTGATGTTTCAGCCAATTTCTCAACAAATTAAAGGCATCCTCGGCGTCTCTATCATCTTCATGACTCTCCGGGCGATGAGCAAATCCATGGCCTCTCCCCGAAAAGATCACAGCTTTCGATCCCTCAATCGTCTTCTCCATCTCTAACACTAAACTCATCGGGCAAAGAGGGTCTTCGTCCCCACAGATAAACAGTACTGGAACATTTATAAACTCAGCTAACGACAAGTTAATTCTCGTCCCGTAGAAGCAAATACCAGTCCGAAAATGGCTGTTCTTGGCTAATGCTTCCATCAAACGTCCGCCACCGAAGCAGAATCCGATAACTCCGAGCTTCTTCGATATCCCTGCGGCGGTGAATTCGTCAATCATCCACTTCGTCGATGATTCTATGTCCTTGGCTACTCTTTCAGGGTGTTGTCGAGCGAGCCAATGCTCAAGCTCGGCTGCAGGCTGCCATTTCTTCCACGGATCGCCACGGAATAAGTCAGGGACAAGAACACTGAAAGCAAAAGTTTAAAAGGATACATGAATATGATTTAAAACTGGAATATTACTATGCATTTATATATCTAACACCTAAAACTTTGATTTTTACACATGTGATATGTTACCTTACTTGTGCATGAAAGATGCATTTCATTCTTTAAAATTTAAAAAGGTTATATTTTTTATGTGACACGAAAGATTTGGGCGGTTTGAACATAAAAATTAAAGCTTAGGTGTAAGATTTGGGTGGTATTTTTGATTGTTTGTATGAAGTCATTTTAGTCCCAGAGTCTATAAAACGTGTCAGTTTAGTCCTACAACTCATTAAACTGAAGCTGAAATAGTACTTTGTGGGGATTATATTAGCCTATATTAAAAAGGTTTGGATACTAAATTGACACTTACAAATTTTCAACTAAAATGACCCCTTACAAACGGTCAAGAGACTATATATTGACGCTTTTCTCTATAATAACAGACAAAGAAGAAATTACGCGCTAAATGAAAGTAAGAACACCTTAAACACTATAAAGGCCATGAGAACATACTTGTAACCATTGCACGCAATTTGATAAGCGAAATCTCGTGTGGACGAATCCTCAAACCCAAAAATATCAGACAGAAGTAGCAAACCGGTGCCATTGTTATTCTTGACGGCCTTAAACAAATAAGCACGAAAGCTGTCCCCACTCTCACCTATCAGAAGTTCAGTGCCATTAACAAGCTCGCAGGCATCATCATCCACTCCATCCTCCAACTTAACCTTGGTTCTCAACACATAATTTGTAGTTTTCCGGCGCAAGCATGAATGTCGGAACTGATCGAAGTAAAATAGCCCCTGGACCAGAACTGGAATTTTGCAGTTAGAAAATGCATAAATTCATGTAATGAAGCAGAAGATGCTCTCTCTCTCTCTCTCTCTCCCTCTCTCTCTCTCTCTCTCCCTCTATATATATATTTATATATAGATGGGAGATTTTCATTATACAACTCAATTCGTATTTATTTACATATCTCACATCTAAACTGCAATTTTTACACATGCAGTATGCATAAAATTGTATTATTTTTAAAAGTTTAAAATACTGGTTTCCTTGAAGTGACATTAAATATTTGGATGGTAAAAATATAAAAAATAAAATTTAGATGTTAGATATGTAAATACAAAAGAATTGGGTGGTATGTATGTAAATTATA